AAAAAAAAAAAAGAAAAAAAGAAAAAATAAATGAGAAAGCAAGAGCTGTGGACTTTCAACAGCAACATGCAAAGTTAAAGCAACAAAGCAATCCTTTTAAAATTCCCAAGATGGCTGGCTGTATCCAAGAATTCTATATCTACCCATCCAAATTATCCTAAAAGTGCTGAAGGCAGAATAAGAATGCAAAGTTCCAAAACATTATCTCCCCAGGATGTATTCTCAGGGAGCTCCTGGTAGACAAGCTACTCAAATACAAAGAATGGGCTCAGGCCTGTAATCCTAGCACTCTGGGAGGCCCAGGCAGGATTGCTTGAGCCTGTGAGTTTGAGGTTGCTGTGAACTAGGCTGATGCCCAGCATTCTAGCCTGAGGCAAAAGGGTGAGAGTGTCTCAAAAAAACAACAAATACAAGGGAATGAACCAGAAAGAAAAGAACAGGAATTACAATAAACAAAAAACTAAATCCAGGACAACACGGTGGAAGGTGGAATGCGTTGTAAAGGCAACACAGAGGATAATGACAACTTTACACTAGTCAAAGACGGAACCTGAGGAATCCAGCAACATGACTGAACTTCCAGCAAGTGGTCAAGAATGTGGGCTAGTATTAGCTGTAAGCACACAGGAAACAAAGCCCCAAAAGGTATTAGCTACAAGGGATACACATTAAATAATGCAGAAAAGCAAGTAATCACAGCGCATGGCTGAAATTGTGAATACTTTGAATGCAAACCAAAATTACACTGTTACAAAAAAATTGCAATGTTACTAAATTTAGTGCAGTAAAGGAATGAGAAGGGGATGCACAGGTGATGGGGCAGGAAGAAAAGTCAAATTAAAAATAAAAAATCAATAAAGAAGTAAGAACAGAGGCATGTTATTTAGAGACCATAATGCAGAAACAATCAGCTAAAGGAGTATCTGCCTTTGGAAAAGGAGATCTGGAGAGCAGTATGGGCAGGAAGTTTCAAAAACAACCTTGTAGAATTACTTGATTCTGAACTACATGTGAACATAAAAACTTCTGAAAAAAGGAAAAAAGTTCAAAAATGTGGTATGAGAAACATCAAACTGCATGCTTTAGTAAGGAAATGACGTATGTAAGTTGGTTTTCAAAGATCTGACTCCAAATATTGGCAAAGAAACAGACTCCTAAACCTTTAGGAAACGTCCACTGCAAAGGCCTCTCACACTATGTGTTGGTTTCCACCAAAATTTAATGTATATGCTAAACCAGCCGTTTTTCTTCCAAGAATCTAACCTCTAATTCACACATATTGGCAGAACTATGTGTTTATAGATATAGATGCCTACAGCTTATTTGTAACAGCAAACTGAAAAGAGGCCTATTTTAAGAGAATGGTTAAATTATAATCCATGACAGAAGACTGTACCTTAAAAAATAATAAAGCGCAGGGTGTTTTGCACCTCTTGTCTCAGCTACTTGGGAAACTGAAGCAGGAGGATCAGTTGAGCCCAGAAATGTCAGGCTGAAGTGAGCTATGACTGTGCCACTGCACTCCAAGCTGAGCCACAGACCAAGACCTCATCTTTAAAAAATAAATACGCTGGCACCTGTGGCTCAAGAAGTGGGGCGCCGGCCCCATATACCAGAGGTGGCAGCTTCAAACCCAGTCCCGGCCAAAAAAAACTGCAACAAAAAATAAATTAAATAAATAAATAAATAAGGTGTGGCTGGGCATGGTGGTGCTTGCACCTATAATCCTAGCACTCTAGGAGGCCGAGACGGGTGGACTGCCTGAACTCACAGGTTCAAGACCAGCCTGAGTCAGAGCAAGACCTCATCTCTATCTCTTTTTTTTTTTT